TATAGAGAGAGAGGAGAAAAGACAGAGAGGAAGATCTTCTGTCCACTGATTCACTCCCCAAGTGACCACAACAGCCTGTGATGCGCCTATCTGAAGCCAGGAGCCAGGAACTTCCTCTGGGTCTCCCACGCGGGTACAGCAACCCAAGGCTTTGGGCCGTCCTTGACTGCTTTCCCAGGCTACAAGCAGGGAGCTGGATGGGAAGCCAGGCTGCTGGGATTAGAACCGGTGCCCATATGGAATCCCGTCGCATTCAAGGCAAAGATTTCAGCTGCTAGTCCATAGCACCAGGCCCTCTCCTGTAAGTTTTATGTGAGGTGGGCCTGCCTGAAACTCCAGCATCCCATATGGACACCACTTCATGGCCTGGCTATTCCACTTCCAATCCAGATCCTTGTTAATGTGCCTGGGAATTATAATGGAAGATGACCCAAGCACTTGAGCCTTGGCCACCACATGGGAGTCCAGAGGAATCTCTTAATGCTTCACGATAATCTGGCACAGCCGTGGCTGTTGTAGCCATCTGGGAAGTGAATCAGCAAATGGAAGGCCACTCTGTCTCTGTAATTCCAGCTTACAAATGGGTAAATAAATCTCTTTAAAAATAGTTTTACAGATCATTTAGCTATTAGATCCTTTTTGAGTTAATATTTTGATATGACATTACACAGAAATTTAACTTAATTTGTGTCCATGTGGAAATGCAGTTTTCCCAGTACTGTTTGCTGAGAAGATTGTCTTTTCACATAAGTGATCTTGGCATCCTTGTTGAAAATCATTTGATTACACATGTAAATGTTTATCTCCGAGCTCTGTGTTCTGTTCCTTCTGTCTGTTCAAATCTACTTGATATTTTCTAGTGAGTTACTAATTTCCATTTTATATTTTCAACTCCAAAACTTCTTTTTGTTTCCTTTTAAGTATTTTTGTTTTAGTTTTCATTTTGTTCCTACAGTGGCTTTATGAATGTCTCCACATTCCTTTGGACACCTGTAAAATGGTTGCTGTTAAGTCTTTATCAAGTAGCTCTGACATTAGGTATTTCTCAGGAGCAGTTTTTTTTTATTGACTTTTTTCCGTTTTCTTGAGGCAGAGATTCTTGTTTCTTTGTGTTGTGGATTGTTATCACCATGGTGAAAATTAGATACTCAGATCTGCTGTGATAATTCTAGAAGTCTGATTTCTCCCCTTTCCCTTGAGACTTGTAGTCTTCGGCATTGATTTTTCTTTGTTCATTTGTTCATTCTGGTAGGCTGTCTGTGTGGCATTGGTTAGTGAGGTATAAATTTCAAGTCTACTCCAGTCTCTTCTGAGCCTAAGGCTTCCCTGGGCATCTGTGTATTTTTAGTTACTTTTTCCTCTATGGCCTAGCGTTGATGCCTAGTTCTCAAAAAACAAAAAACAAAACAACAACAAAAAAAAAAAAGAGTGAAGGGGCAGAAGAAAGTTCTGTCTCCCTGTTTTCTGCCTGAAGGGGGCTGGGCACCATGAGGGCGGGTGCAGTGTTGATGGCAGCTTGCCTCTGTGCAGCTCCCTGGTAGGAGCAGCAACCAGCAATCAGGTGTTCGGTGTGCAGGACCTGAATGTGTGTGGATAGCTCTGGATACACGTGCAACCACTGCCTGTCACTTGGCTGGGGTTGGAGCTGAGCAGCTGCTATTCCGCTAGGACTGGAACTTGAGCGCAAGAAGCTGCGATTCATCTTCTAAGCTTCACAAACCCTCAGTAGACTCCCAACTTTCCAGGTCGGCGCTGTAGACAGATTCTGCTAATGCTGCTGTCTGGCTGGCAAACAGAGTCCTGGTGCTTCTTACACTGCCACCTTCCCCAAATTCTCTCAGCAGCACCTGTGTATGTAAACTATTCAACAGCAAAGACGGCGTAAGAAAGTTGGGAATACCAACACCGACTACTAACTTGCTTGAAGCTTGAAGATTCTACGCCCAATCAAGAAGCCAGGCAAAAGAGGTCACCAACTGTCTGATTTCATTTTTGTGGTGTATCCAGAACCCTAAATCCGAAGGACAGAGAGTACATCAGTGGTTGCCAGGAGCTGAAGGGGAGGGTGAGAGATGAATCAACTGCCCAATATGTGTGTGAAGTGTCCTTTGAGAATGATGAAAATATTTGGGAACTAGTCCTTGATCATTGTGGTGTAGTGTACGTTTTACTCAATGCTACTGAAATGGGCTTGTTCAAATAGTTGATTTTAAACGCTGTGAATTTTCACTTCAATGTGAAAAATAATAAAGTTAGTAGAAAAATAGTAAGATCTTTTAAACTCACGTAAACAGAAAACACATTTTTGGTACATTTTATTCATGAAACAAATCCATCTTTGTGCTTTGACTCCCATCCGGGCTGACAGTAAGATGCTCAATTGCTTGTTCTCCTAGGGGAGTGTAGGCACTTGCGCCGTTTGGTTCATTTGTCTCCCTATTGCCAAGTAGTGACTGTCATTCCCACCTCCCTCCAGTCCTCTACTCCTGCATGCCACCCTTGCCTCAAGGCTGTATTTCTGCTGTTAGTCAGTTCTCACTGGGGACTGTTCTATCTTGTTTTCTGTCATTTAATTTTCTCTTCTAGCAGGTAACTTTCCGAGTTCTCTTGGCTCCTAGATACCCTTGACCCTCATTGACATTGGGAGCAACAGGGTCCCGTGAGTACATGCCTGATTTGTCCAGGGGGGTCCAGTGGCGTTTCTCCAGCCTCTTCTCCAGGCCTGTCTGTGCTACTGCCTGCTGTGTGGTGAGCTGGGATAGCCTTTTTGCCCAAGTAGGTTGGGACCTCCCATAATGGCAGTTATGCCTTTCCTGGTGTGTCTCCTTAGCTGGTCTCCTTGGCTGGGCTCCTTTCTCAGTTTGGAGGTCGCATACCTTGAAATCAGTGAGCATCCTCTGTGAAGCCTTCTACCAACAGGACACACTCTTCCATGTGCTGAAGCAGCTTAGGGTCCTATGGCCCTATCTTGTTAGTCTACCTTACAGCATGATCAGTTGGGGTCTGCCCTGACCCACCAACCTGGGGAATTATGGAATGAGAAATTAACATGGCTTTCAATCATTTCTTCTTTCCCATGATTTGGACCCATAATTCCCGTCAGCCTTTCCTAGCACTTTGGCCTGGCACATTGCTAGTGTGCATTTTAGTGAATGTTTCCAGGATGTGCACACTGATACATCTTTACCAAGAGGTTATCTTTTTCACTTGTTAAACTAACTTCCGTTTGTCTTATGACCAAAACCCAAAAAGAAGCAGTATCACTTAACTTCTGTTTTCCACATTTTTTTGGTATTTAGCTTTTATAGACCTCTAAATATAAACATTATTTTGAAGTCAATGTGATTTGTTCTCACAGTTTCCATGCATCATTTGTGGCCTTTCCCCTCTCACATTCACAATATTTGTATCCAGGTCATTAATTTTATTTTTTTAAAGATTTATTTTTATTATTATTTTTTTATTGGAAAGGCGGATATACAGAGAGGAGAGACAGAGAGGAAGACCTTCCGTCCGATGATTCACTCCCCAAGTGAGCGCAACGGGCCAATCCTATGCCGATCTGAAGCCAGGAGCCTCTTCCGGGTCTCCTACGCAGGTGCAGGGTCCCAAAGCTTTGGGCCATCCTTGACTGCTTTCCCAGGCCACAGGCAGGGAGCTGGAAGGGAAGCAGGGCTGCCAGGATTAGAACCGGCGCCCATATGGGATCCCGGGCGTGCAAAGCGAGGACCTTAACCACTTGTGCCACTGCGCTGGGCCCCAGGTCATTAATTTTAAATCTAATTATAAACTCTTTCACATGATTTTCTAACTGATCCCTTAAGTCTTGTGCATTTTATAATGCCTATGCCCACAAAGTAACAATTCCATCCATTTTGATGAAAGATAGAGAAAGAATGAAAATCCCTTCCTGAACAAATTCTTACAAAGACACTATTTGTACCGCTTGGAATTATTTTTGTTAGTTTTATTGCTGCTTGTCCAACTATTTGATAAGCCAGCATTCTAGTCTTAACACATGTGCAGATCTTTCATTTATTATCACATAACCAGATGCCCATCAGTTCAAAACTGTTCAGTTGAAAAATAACTTGGCGTTGCTATGTTTTTCAAAATTATCTTGGGAGGGGAAACAATCATGCTTTAGGCTGTAATTTAAATAGAACCACTTTTGTGTCCTTGGCATTTGCTGCAAGCAGTCAGTCTAAGTAAATCAAACATTGAAAGATTTGGAAGGAAAACGAGGGTAGAGTAGAAGATGAATTTTGTTTTAATTGGCATCATCCTTTTGATTCCCTCCTATTATTAATGAAATTCTGTGTGCGTTTGGGTGAACATAAACTGAATAACTTTGTGATTTTAAAGAAATGCTAAATTATGCAAAACATCAGAATCAGTCATTTTAATATGAGATGCAGGAGGGTGGTTGTGTGGAAATCATATTTCATAGATTGCGGCCTGCAGACTGGGGTTTTGCCTCGTGATTAAGACCCTGATCAAGATGCCTGTTCACCACGTGTGAATGTGTGGCGTTGATCTCAATGTTAGCTTCATGCTAGCATGGACCTTCAGAAACAGTAGCGATGGCTCAGTCGGCCATGGCCCTGCAATCTTTTGGCGAATAAAGGATAGCTGCCCTGTTTCTCTTTCTCTCCCTCTCATCTCTCTCCCTTCCTCTCCCTGTCTTTCCCTCTTCCTCGCCTTTCCTGCATCTCTTCCTTTTCCCCTCCACCCTTCTTTCTGTCTCTTCCCTCTATATTCATCTCCCCCTAATAATAAAAATAAGTTTTAGAAAATATGCCTCTGTTTAAAATTGTTCAATACATTCTCTAAATAGGCAACTTGGGAGAAAGAACAGTTACTGATTCTGAAGAAAGCTACTCTTCCAGAAGTCTTTGCACCTCTGATGTGTTCATATGACTGGGTGAGGACATCTAGTCAGCTTATTAGAATGAGGAGCCGACTGCTGACTTCCTCTTTTTCTTTTCCTCTCTCGGCAGGTTACCTACCTAGGGAAAGTCTCCACGTCAGGCATGCAGTTTTTGTCAGGCTGCACAGAGAAGCCAGTCATTGAGCTCTGGAAGAAGCACACACTGGCCCGAGAAGATGTCTTTCCAGCCAATGCCCTCCTGGAAATCCGACCATTCCAAGTGTGGCTCCATCACCTTGACCACAAAGGTGAGGCCACAGTTCACATGGATACCTTCCAGGTGGCCCGCATCGCCTACTGCACTGCCGACCACAACGTCAGCCCCAACATCTTTGCCTGGGTCTACAGAGAGATCAACGACGACCTGTCCTACCAGATGGACTGCCACGCTGTGGAGTGTGAGAGCAAGCTTGAGGCCAAGAAGCTGGCTCACGCCATGATGGAAGCCTTCAGGAAGACTTTCCACAGCATGAAGAGTGACGGCCGGATCCACAGGAACAGTTCCTCCGAAGAGGTCTCCCAGGAATTGGAATCTGATGATGGCTGAATGAACTTACGATGCCTTGGCGATGGCAGCATGGGTCATGGAATTCAAAATCTAGATGAAGTCACGATGATTCCAATTTGGGTTGCAAAGACTGCCAAACCATTGGCTGACCATGCTTTTTAAATTCAGAAGAGCAATTCTAAATCTAAAGAGATGTATCATTAAAGTAATTACGTGACATTGAAATCTGCTGCTGCTCTGACTGTGAGAAAGGTGGGAGTGTGGATGGGGAGGAAGGTTCTAGACTCTCTTCTTACTATTCTTTTTTTTTTTTTCTCTCATTTCGTAATGCCTCCCTGTGGGAGAGCCCCAAGCCGATTTCCACCACTCTCAGGCAAATACTCCATGGCTGTTATTCGGAGAACCATTCCAATCTGCCTTACAAGATGCAGCAGGAATGTCAACAGCACCTGTAGGATCCTTGGTTCAGATGCAGGGATGCCTCCTGATGGTCCTGAGAGCTCCTCTCCTATAGCATGCCTCAGACTTTCTCCTCAGTATGTACATCAGCACAGACTTGATTGAGCTTTACGACTAACGACCTGATAGTTGGCAGTTAATTCACAGTTAAAGCTTTTTATGTACATGGATATATCACGTAGTATCCTCTTATTGTATTCACTTCATCTGTTTTCTTAGAGTACTTGCAACTACTAATAACCCTTCCCTTGTCCACCCTCTCTTCCCTCCAACATCCTGAGAAAGGTGAATGTTTAACCTACACTGCAGGACACATGAAGGGATAAAGAAAACCAGCAAAAGAAACACAAACAAACATTAAATTCAACACAACCACAAAGACAGAAACCCTGGAGAAGGGGAGTAAGTCGTCGAGTGAGAAAGCTGTATGTGTTCTTCCCCGCTCCTTTCCAAGGCTGTGTGATGGGAATGTTCAGGTAATGTTCCCGTCGGACGAGTCCTTCATGACAAGCTTCGAATCTGCTTTGACATCACTTAGGAAACTTTGCTTCATTGAACATTACAAAGATGAGTTAGATAAATTAGACTAGAGAACCAATGTCCACATCTTTATCTGAACAGAAGTTTGTGACCTTAAACTTGGCAATCCCGTAGGGTCAGAGTTGCCCACTTATTTGTGCTATAAATGCAGAATTCTCCCTAAACCTGAGCTATCTCAGTTTCACCAATCTTTTAATGTACACATAACGAGTCACCGTTGAATGAAGTTGAAGATGTTAAAGTATATGCATTTAAGGCCAAGGCTCAGATGGTGAATTCCCAAGGTCATGCAGCTCCTCTCCTTCCAAGAAACTGTTTTCAGTCGAGGGAATGGTAGGAGCCCTTGGGCACCTTGGAAGCCTTAAATGAGAGTTAATCTGGTGTAGTGAATGGTGGTGTCAGTCTTCTGGTCTGTCCTTCTGTGTGTCTGAGTAAATGTCCTGTGTCTGTACGTGTGCCCTCTATTCGTGGGTCCAGTGTTCAGCATGTGTAATAAGCATGGAGTCATATTGAGGAGGGCTCGTTTCTTGAAGATACGCTTGTTGCTTTACAACATATGTAAACAAACCTTTAGCATAAATGCATTCATTCTTTAATAAAAATGTTTGCAGTAATAGAACTGAGGAGTTTCTTATTCTATGTGTTTTTTCCAAGTAACGAAAATCTGAAGAAAATAGATCATTGATTAAACGGGACAGTTCTCTCTCAATATATATGTAAGCTTGGTTCTATAGTACTCGTTTCTTGACTGGGTTGGAAAGCCTTGCTGTATTTTCTCAATGTGCAGTCTGGCTTGTAACTGCTGCCCTGCTTTTAAGCTGAGAAGGTGACAAGCCAAAAGTTGGAATTTGTTATTTAGTGCGGTGGACTTACTTCAGAGGAGAGTGTTTCAGGACATTTTGCAGACAAGTGCTATTTACAAAAGCTCCTGAACATCTTTGGAGAGCCTGTACTGAAATCCTGGAAGAAAAACACTGAATGATCCTGTCTAATTGGACTTGGTAAAAATGTCTCCTGAAGGCCGTGATTTCCCCAAATGGCCCCATTTATCAAGTAAGACAAGCAGCCAGGGAGCCTGCATGCCACAAGGAGCGCTCTTCATTAAATCAATTCTTCGTGGAATCAATAACAAATGTAAAGCCTTCTGAAGTGGAAATGTGATACCTGTAATGATATATGCTCCAGTGAGAATGGCTACCCAGCTCTTCTGGTTGAATGTTTCTTTCCAGTTGAACTTTTCCCAATTTCACTTTTATTCCACTGTCCTTGAATCTACATTTTAAAGCAAAAAAATAAAAGCTGGCCATTATTTTCTTTGAAACTGTACTATTTTCATTTCTGAATAACAATTGAGTTGAATCTCATGGTTATTTATTGCAGAAAGCGTTTTCCAGCATTTTTTGTTTTAGGGTTCTAAGTTTAATGTCTCTGATAATATTGGCATGAACTTTAGCTTGGAGTGATTGGTAAGGACTGATTCAGTAATGGGTTCTTTTTCAACATTTTATCCTCTCTTTCTGTGTCATGTTTTCTATGCTACTGGCCATGGTCACAGTGCCCTTTTCATGTATGTTACTCTTAAGCTTCTCAGAGGATTCCTGCAGAAAGATGTGATCATGACTTTGCAAGTGAGAAAGTAGAGACTGAGAGGAGTTGCATAGGTTTGTCAAAGGAACAAAACTGCAATGTACTTGATGAACTTATGTCCATGCAAGATCTACCTCCTTTTGGTATTGTAGTTCCATTCCTCTTAAAAACCTTCTGACATATTTTTCAATTAGCACACTAAGCCACTAGAAATAAACACATTGGCTATTTCATTGTGAAGCATTTCAGAAGCAGAAAAGATAAAATATGAAATTTTCATTAAGTGTTTAGTGGGCAGTGGACAGAATGTCTCTTTCTCTTCAGAGATTGATACATGTTTCATTTTCCAAAGACATGTTGATACCCAATCAGATCCTCCTATCACTGGATTTTATAATTTTTCTCATGTCATTTGTTACAGTTTTAATGTTCGTATTTTATTGTATGGTCATGCAATTAGGTGTTTAAGCCTCATGAGTGAGTGTTCAAGGGAGGGGGATTTTGTCCCTTTCATTCATGTTTTGTCCCCTGCTCCTCTGGTCATTTCAGCACGCAGAAGTGGCTCATCAGTTTGTACTAGCAGCCTAGCAGGATGCATGATGGAGCAGATGGGAAGAAAAGCCAACATGTGCACCCTTGGCTCACACATGCTAGGACGGGATGCTAGAGCTCTGCCAAGTCTGCCACTAGCTCTCTTACCTACTTTCTGCTAAGGTGAGTGAAAGGCTTTTCCGTGAAGACAAACATGACCCCTTACTTATGACAAACACAATTATTGGCTGCCTTCAGATAGATGTCAGGCACATGATGAAAACAAGATTCTAACGCAGCAGACAATGTATAGAAAACACCTGCCTTTAGCAGATTGTAACACTCCTGCCATGCATGTGTTACTGCCTACTGCTGCAACTGAACCAGAACAAAGAAGGTGAGAAGAGTGTCAGCTTTCTGATGATATGAAACATGGATTCCTCCGAATTCCCCCCAGATCACTTCAGAAAACCTTTTGAAAGCTTCTCTGCTCCTTGTTTCCATGTTTCCTATCCTTTTAAAAAAATTTCTGTCTTTGCTTCTTTGTCATCATTTCCTACTAATCCTTCTTTCCTCCCATCACTGTTTATGAATCTCAGGACAACCCCAAGACTCTCTCAGATTGTAAGAAGAAAGAATATATGTGCTGTTGATCTGAAACCACATCCTTCGGTGCCTGATCCATTGGCACGTATTCTGACAAGATTGAGGGATAATGTAGATTTGCTGTGGTTTATTCTCACAGGAGACATGGTCATGACTGAAATCCTCATAGCTTACTGTTTCTGAAAAGCGTTCCAGGAGTGTCCCATCTCCCAGGCACATCCCAAACCAACCTCAATTGGAAGTGAAGATTCCCATAATTATCAGGGGGCATTTCTCAAATGCTTAGTGGTCTTCAACAATTCTTCCTGTGAGATGGCAACGTTTGGCTCCTGGATTTTTTGTTTGTTTGTTTTTTGATGAAATGTATTATTTAGCTAAAAAGTTTGACTACTCATTCTGAAAAGGAGCTGACTGATAATATGTGTAAGACATGAACCTGTTCAACAGAAAGGCAGTAAGTTGGGTGAAGCAGATTGCAGGAAAAGAAAAATCCACACCACTTTATTTTGGACATATGCAAATTATTTGCTGAAAATGAATATAATATATGATCTTGTATACTGAGCAAAGCTGACATTCATAAAGAGATATTTAGGAAAGTGTATCTTTTGGAATGTCTTAGTAAGATTATCTGTGGTTTTTGCATATCTGCCCCAAACTGGGGATTCAAGATGACTGAAGATATTTAACTTTGGAAACTTAGGGCTTTGACTTAAAAACATTCTCAGGTTTCTACAAAGTTTCCGGTATCTTGGCCCGGAGAGTACTATAAAATGATACTTACATGGTCTGAAGTGTGATTACTGAAACACTAAACATATGTGAAACTCCTTCCTATGCAATTGCCAATATTTATCAATATTTTCATGCCTGTAACTTTACCCAATGGCTATTTCCTTAGTAAAACAGTTTTCATTTCATTTTTTTTTTTTTGAGTGCTCATTTAGGACAAAGTGGAGGTTTCTGAACTAAACTCACTGCTTCATTAAGTCCTGTTTGGGACCATATTAGTAAGCGTAAGCCCTCCTTACCACATTTATCTTCTGGAGGGGCACAGGGTAGGAGAAACACTTAAGGAAATTCACCCTTGCAAGGAGGAGCCAAAAGTTGTCTGTATAACCTGGCATATGTTCTTTGAAAAATTAACTGATAATTTAAAACCTCATATATTCAGAATAAACAAAATGATATTTTGAAGTATGTATACATTGTTTAATGGTTACATTAAAATTAGTACCATATACCTCACTATGTTCTTTTCTATAGAAAATCTATGTATTTATTCGAAAGCAAGAGTGACACAGAGAAAAGGAAATGACAGAGAAATAGATCTTCCGCTTGCTACTTCACCCCTCCAATACACGCAGTAGCTGAGACTGAATTAGGCCAAAATCAGGAGTCCCGAAACTCTTCCTCGCCTGGGAGGCAGGCACCCGGGTACTCGATTTATCTTTCCTTGCCTCCCCAGCCACACCGTTAGGCAGGAGAGTCAGAAGCGGCAGCTCGGACTCTCATCGGCACTCTGACATGCGTGTCTCAAGTGGAATCACAATCCGCTGTGACACAGACCATATCTACACACTTCTTTCATGCTGAGCATTTAAAATCTATTCTTTGAGCAGTTTTCCAAAAGTTAAAACCACACTGAGATGTCACTATCACACCATTAAAATCTCTATTTAAAAAAAAAAACAATGAAAAGAACTGAGTTGTAGAGTATGTGGAAAAGTGGGAACCCTTGAGCTCTTTCAGTGGGAATACATTAGAGTAGCCATTATGGAAAGCAGAATAGAAGTTCCTAGAAAAGTTAAAAATACATCTGAAAAAATAAAGTCAGTATTTTGAAGAGATAACTGCACGCTCAGTTTTGCTCAGCATTATTCACAATAGCCTAGGTATGGAATCAACTTGAGTGTCCATCAAGGGATGAATGCATAGGAAATGTATTATACATACAAATGGGCTACTATATAACTTCAAGAAAGAGGCAAATCTTTTGCAATAACAAAACAGGCAAAAATTTGCAATAACAAGGATGAGCCATATGTCATCTGCCAAAGACATTATATTAGTTTCCATAAACCAGGAACAGAAATGCAAATAACACATGATTCAATGTCACATAGAGTCTAAAAGCTTCAAACTTCCAGGAGAAAAAAGAAGTTGCGAGGGCCAAGGGCTCTAGGACAATGGCAAATGTTGATTGAGGTAAATTCAATTTCAGGTGAATAGGGAAAATAAATACTACAGATCTATTTACAATGTGGCATCTAGAGTGAATAACAACTTTTCCTTTGGTCACTTTCAAATGCAAATCTAGTGCCAGTGAAAACTGAGGTTCATTGTTGTCTGAGCTCTGACCAAAATTGTGCACAGTAAGCAAAGTCTAATACATTTGATTTTGTTCATAATTGGATTTTACTTGTGCAGGGGCTACTATGGGCTTAGAAACAACAGGATGGCTTGAAATGGAAAGAAACCTTGAATTCAGTCTGTTGCAAGATTATCACACTGCCTTCCTCATTTTAATTGCAATAGCTTTTCCCAGGATTTAGTCCTATGCTTTGAGAAATTAGTACAGTAAAACACCATTCATTTAGATAAAACTAATTAGGAGTTGGTGGTTATGGCCTTGAGAAAATCAAGTTTCTTGCTTATTTATAATAAGCAAATAAATCAGGTGAATACTATTGCGATTGGAAGTTCTGTCTCCTTGGAAAAATCTTGACTTTTGCATATTACAGTAGCAGCTTAATCTTTATAACTTCAGCATAAATACAAGCTGTCATGACAGAAATTACAACTTAGATATGATCTTTTGAACCCATTCTTTATATATTAAAGTGTGTTTTCCAATATGCAACAGATGGCTAATGGAATTCTAGGATGTAGAGCCTTGAATGTATAAAAAATACCTTTTCTTTTTAAGTATATATAATTTCACAATTATTTTAATGTTTGAGTTTGTTTTCAGTATGTTTTGTGTTTCTCAGGTTTGAATATATTTGTGATTGTATCAACCCAATGACAGGTCACATGTCCTAGGTTAATGTGTATGAGATCTGAGAGTGCCTCATCCCAAGCTGTGTCATTCCCAGAGGTGCCTGGTGGATAAATTGATGTAGATGGCCAATGAAAGTCAGCCAAAGCTCCAGGAACAAAGCTTATGTCTTGGGAAAGGAGAGGATACACGTTAGCTTCCCAAAGGAAGAGGGCCCTGTCAACAAGCAGTCCACCCACCCAGAAAAGTTTCTTTGCATAATTCTATTAAAAAATGATTCATCTTAAAACTCATACCTGGGGAGTGGGCAGCATGGTGACATATCAGGCTAATCCTCTGCCTGAAGCATTGTCATACCATATAGGTGTCTGTTAGCATCCTGGCCACTCCATTTGCAATCTCTGCCTGTGAACTGGAAGGGTAACAGAGGATGGCTCAAATCCCTGGGCCTCTGCACCCATATGGGAAACCCATTTGGGGAGTAAACCAGTGCATAGGGGGGATCCTTCTTTCTCTGTCTCTCCTTCTCTTTGTAAATCTTCCTTTCAAATAAA